CCCCAAAACCCCAAAACCCCAAAACCCCTTAGCTCAAAATTTGTTGGATTAATTGTATATAATAATACTAAATGTTTAAATCTTTATATTTACATGGTAAAAAGAGTAAAAAACATAAAAAATAACCATTCAAAAAATCATGATGGTTAAGGAGGCTATAGTAGTGGATCCTCAATCAAATGGGATCATTCATAATCATCTATACACTCAAATAGATAAAGAGAGTATCAAAACTAAAATTCTTAAAGTAGCAATCTTCCAATTCCAGAGAATGATGAAATGCTTTCTTGTACTGAATTCGACAATTTATTAAGCAAATCAAAGGCTGAAGATAACGCATAAAGAATAATTAACCTTTAGAATGGAATTGATTATCAGTTATGATTAGATTCTGATGGATTTTAGTCTCGCATTACTGATTAACGCCAAAATTAGTATTAAATAAAGAACTAGTTACAAATAGAACATATGGACAGTATTGAGCAGGATGAAAAAGAGCTAAAAAATTACTAAACACCCTTAGAGTTTAAAGTTATTGATAAGTATAAAGTTCTTTTAGGAGGTTGGCTTGAAGTTTCTGTTAATTTGGGAGATATTACTGAAGAGAACGTAGATGCTATTACTAATGCAGCTAATGAAGATTTATACCATGGAGGTGGAGTTGCTGGTGCGATTGCTGAGAAGGGTGGTCCATCAATTCAGATAGAATCAGATGAATGGAAGAAGAGAAATGGTTTAATAAAAGAAGGAACAGCTCCTGCTGTAACAAGATCTGGAAATATAAAGTGTTACAAGTATATCATTCATGCTGTAGGTCCTAAATGGACAAATGTATTAATTCTAAATATTGATCTTAAATATAGGGCTAAAGAGATGATGAATAACTACTTTACGATTGTATTAAGGATACTTGTAGAACTGCATGCAATTACAATTTAAAATCAGTTTCTATTCCAGCTATATCTTCAGGGATATTTGGGTTCCCTAGAGAATTATGTGCAGCTCATTTATTCAGGGCTGTGGAAGATTTTTGCTTTGAAAATAGACCAGAAATCTTAGTAGACTCTATTCCCACTTTGAGATTTGTTAGATTCACTGACAATGACTTCCCAACAGTCCAAGAATTTTAGAAGTAATTTAATTATAGATATAACAAAAGATAATAATGCATTCCTTTGACAGGCACATTAAATGAAGGATATTAATATAATTTTGAGTAATTAACAAGTGTTTCAAGAAAAAGCTATGGCCAACTCGATTTCCCAATAAATGATGAAATGATAAATGAAGTAAAATCACATAAGAAAGAAATTTAAGATTAAGAGACCTAAACTATGTCTTATGATGAAGTTGAAATGATAATAGAAAAATAGATTAGGGTTAAAATCAAGAACGAATTAGCAGCTAGGGATTAAAATGTTTAGAACTCTAATTAAAGTTAAAATCCTACTTTCACCTAGTATTATCAACCTTCTGTAAATGGTTAGTATAATTAGTATCATAATTAGCAATCAAGGAACAATCTTTAAACTAGTTTTCAAAATTCAAGGTATATTAGTTATGATCCTAATTAGAATAGTAAAGGGAATATAAGTTAGAAATATATGAATAACAATCAAAACTATTAGCAATAAAACCAAAATAATAGTCACTTCTAAAATAATTATCAAAATAGCGCCAATTCCAATAGGTAATACTCGAGATATTTTCACGGTAATGACCTAGATTGAAATAGAGGTAAATATAATTGATAATGAAAATGATGAGAGCAAATTACAAGATTGCAAAATATAAAACATTTATTTTATAAAAGGGCATCATAAATTCTTATTGATTCAATTAAAAACTCCTAATTTATTCATTTAATTCTAAATGCGGGGTTTTGGGGTTTTGGGG